GCAGCGCTTTGCGCGTGCCGGGCGGGCCGCGGGGCTCCGGGACCAGGATCTGGTCCTCGTCGATACCACCGACTTCTTTCTCCTGCGCTTCCACGTTGACCCCGTCGCAGTGCACGTGGGGCACGCAGCACAAAGGCCGGCCCCGGGCCGCGCAGGGCTCCACAAAGCTCAGCGCCAGTCCCGCTACCAGCAGCACCGCGTAGGGCAAGCTCCAGGCCACGCCGGGCCCCGCGAAGCTCAGCGCCAACCTAGCTGCTCCCCAGCCCCCAATCCAAGAAATATTCAGATCCCGGGGGGCCCTTGGGGCGTCCGCCTCCCCGCCCACGGCCAGCGGCTTCGCCGACGGCATCTTGTGCGCGCTAGGCGGAGCCTCGCCTGGGCCCTTCGGGCGAAGGGCCTCGCGGCTGACCTCCACGTTGACCGTCTCCTCAACCCGCACGTGCACGTCGTCGTAGTACGCGTAAGAGGCGCCGATATACGTTTCCAGGTACATGCGCAGCGCCTCTGTCCCCTCCTCCGCCTCGCCGTCGTCAAAGTTGAGCCCGCTGCGACTTGGCCAGCGGGTTGTGGGCCAGCTCCAGGCCGTGACGGGCATAGTGCCCAGCGCCCCAGCAGCCAAGGCCACCTTCGTCGCGCCTCCGCCCGCCAGGAGCTGCAGCAGCCCCATCAGCAGGCCAGCGGCGGCCGACAGCACGCGGCATGCCCGCGCCGCGGCGACCGCGGGCGGCGGTGCCGCCGCCCCCTTGATAACGCTGTTGCCGGTGTAGCCGTCGACGAGGCCGTCGGAGACTTCAGCGATGCCGCTGTCGGAGCGGCTGTCGGTCCGGCGGTCGGCAACTCTGCCGTTGTGGCTGTCGGCGTGGCCGTCCGCGCCGCCGGCGAGCCTCGCGTCGACCCCGTTGTGGGCGCGGTCCTCGGCGCAGCATTCGGGGACCTTGGCAACAATGCTGTCGGCGTGGCCGCCGGTGTGGCCGTCGAAAACCTCGGCGACGCGGTCGTCGACGCCGTGCGCGCGCGTGCCGGACGCCACTGTGGTTCGCACGACGTCCGGCACCAGCACTGGCTCCTCCCGGATGCCCCTCGGCGCATCGGTGCCGGCGTTGGCGCGCAGCTTGTCGGCGGGCGTCGAGCCGAGGCTGGCGTCGATGCTGGCATTGATGCTGGGGTGGGCGCAGGTGCCGGCGCCGCCGTAGGCGTACAACGTGGCCGCTGGCATGGAGTCGCTGCTGGAGTCGGTGCTGGGGTCACCGCTGGTGTGGGCGCAGGCGTTGGTGCCGACGTCGGAGCTGGTGTAGCCGTAGGCGTCGGTGCCGACGTAGGCGCACGACGCGTCTGCTGGCGCGGAGTCGCTGTTGGCGTCGAGGTTGAGATCAACGACGATGTAGATGCAGGCGTCGGTGCCGGCCCAGGCGCACAACGTGGCTGTCGGGAGGACGATGTCCTCCTGGCGGTGCGTCGCGCGGATGTCCGCGATCGCGCCCGCCGTGACGACGGGCGCCGCGGCGACGATCCCGACAAGCTGTCCACGCTGCCCCTCCCTGGGGCTTGGAATGGCGCCCGCCCGAGGCCCCCCGAGCATCGCTCGGCCCGACGGGGTGGAGCTCGGAGGGGGACCTCTCCAGGGGGTGCGTTTTGACCTGGGGGTCGAGGTCCCATGGGCGAGCCCACCCTGAGATTCGAACTTCGTCGGAAAAATTATCGAAAGCGCCTCCACCCCATTGTCCTCCTCCCTCGTTCGTTTCGTACCTCGTGCCCGCTCCCCGACGCCGAGAACAGGCAAGGCCGCGGCCGCCCTGACGTCGCCGTGCACCTGATCGTCCTCGTCGCCCCCCCTGTCGTCCGCCGCGTCGGCGTCGTCAAAGCCCTCGGTCAGCTGGACGCTGCAGGGCACCGGGTCCTCCTCGCCGTCCTCCGCGTCGTCCGCCGCGTCGTCGCTCTCGTGGTCCCCGGCGTGGTCCACCTGCCTCTCCATGAGGTTGGCGGGGAACAGCAGGTTCTCGATGGGGTCGAAGAGGTCGCCGATGCCCATGGCGCCGGCGAGGCCCGCGCCTGCACGCGCCTCGCTGCCGGGGGCGGCGGCGTCACCGCACGCCTGTCCTACCGACGGCAGTGGCGCTCCCACCGCGGGGTGCTCCGCCAGGCGAGGGCGGCGGCGCTGCTGCTCGCCTGCCCTGGCGCCGGCGGCACTCCCCGGGGGGGGAAGGGACCTTGAGTGGCCGCTCCCCCCGGAGCTCGCGTCGAGCCTCGGTCGCGCCGAACCCGGAGGCTTCCGACCCGGTGCCACTTCGTCGAGGCGGTAGCGCCGTCACGGCCCCGCCTCTTTCGAGCGGCCGCGCCAGGCAGGCGATTGGCGGGCCTGCTGCCCCCCCAATCCTCGGCCTGTTCCTCCTGGTAGCCCCCCTGGTCCTCGTCGTCGTGGTCCTCGCCGTCCTCCTCGTCCCTGCCGTCCTCGCCGCTGGTCGGCTCCATCGGCTCGTCTGCGAAGCCCGGCAGCACCGCCAACAGCATCATCAGCAGGGCCCAGGGCGGCCGCGCCTCGACGCCTGCAAAACGTCGGGATGCCACACCGCAGGTCGCCTGTGCGGCCCCGGGCGGCTGCTGCGGCGCCCCCAAGCCGCCCAGGCTGGACGCTGGCGCGGCGCCCCGCCCTCGCTCGGCGGCAACCTGGGGCAGCCGTGCTGCCACCCCCCAACCGCCCCAGGCGTGCGCCGGCGCGGGATCGCGCCTCGCTGCCTCCGCCTGGCCTCGAGCTGGCGCCGGCGCTGGCGCGCGCCCGGCCCCTTGCTCGGCGGCAGTCTGGGGCAGCTGTGCTGCTACCCCCCAGCCGCCCCAGGCGTGCGCCGGCGCGGGATCGCGCCTCGCTGCCTCCGCCTGGCTTCGAGCTGGCGCGGGCGCTGTCGCGCGCCCGGCCCCTTGCTCGGCGGCAGCCTGGGGCAGCTGTGCTGCCACCCCCCAGCCGCCCCAGGCGTGCGCCGGCGCAGGATCGCGCCTCGCTGCTTCCGCCTGGCTTCGAACTGGCGTTGGCGCTGTCGCGCGCCCAACCCCTCGCTCGGCAGCAGCCTGGGGCCACACTGCTGCCGCCCCCCGGCCTCCCCAGGCGTGCGCCGGCGCGGAATCGCGCCCAGCTGCCCTCGCCTGGCTGTGAGCTGACGCCGGCGCTGTCGCGCGCCCAGCCGCCCGCTCGGCGGTAGCCTGCGGCGGCCATGCAGCCGCCCCCCAGCCACCAAATGCCCCGCGCGGCGGCATGGCGAAGCCGCGCGCGAGCTCTCCGGATTCCGGAGTCTTTTGGCCCTCCGGAGTGAGGCTCCGGAGGGACCGGCCTTAGGCCACCTGAGGCCGACCCCCAGCTTGGCCTTCGAAAAAGGCTTGAGCCGCCAAGCGGCGGTGAGAAGAGAAGGAGCGAGAGAGGGCAAGCAAAGAGGCAAGGGCAGGAACAAAGGGACCGCAAGTGGAAGCCCGCGCCAGTTCTGGAAGCGGGGAGATCCATCACTTTTACCAAACATCCTATCCCAATCCCCCTCCCCCTCCCTCTGCCCCGCCGCCTCCTCCGCCCCCCTCCCCCTCCCCCCTTCCCCGCCTCCTTTTCTCCTCCTCCGCCTCCTCCTCAGCCACCTCAACCGTCACCTCCTCCTCCTCTGTCTCCTCCTCCTCCTCCTCCTCCTCCTCCTCCTCCTCCTCCTCCTCCTCGTCCCTCTTCCTCTCCCCCGGAGGTCTCCAGGGGCCTCTGGAGTCTGGAGGTCTCCAGAGAAAGAAGGACAAACAGACAGACTGACAGACAGGCGGACGGACAAACGGACAGACAGACGGCCCAGCCGACTGGACTTGATGGCCCATATTCTGGCGAGGCAAGAGCATGGAAGAGCAAACGCTGTGCATCCGAGCGGGAAGGATGACGGAAAAAGGAGGAAAAGAAATAGACGGCACTCACACATGAAGACAACACTCGACGAGCGCGACTTCATGGCGTGTTTGTGCGATCTCGGGCAAGACATCACCACGGATGACTCCTTGAAGGCGGTCGTCCTATCTCGTCGGAGGCAGCGCGGTTTCAACAGTATGATGTATGATCCCGTTCCACTCACTGTCCAGCCACGATGTACGCATTCATGTCTCCAGAGGCCAGCAGAGATTTTCTTGAGGTCTCCGTGGGGCGATCCATCGTTCTCCACCTCCTCCACCTCCTCCAGTACCCGCGCCGATCAATCAGCATCGTAGCAGGAACTCGGGTCGGATCGGAACGTGCATCGGATCTAGCCGCATTGGCACTCACAAGGTCGGAATCGAATCGGATCAGCCGCGCCAGGATGCACGACAGCACCATGCAAGCATCGTGCCGCAGCGGATTGTCGGGATATCGGAATCGAATCGGACCGAGCCCTGACGCAATCGAGATCGCATCGGATCTGTCGTATCGGAATCGACACTGGGAGGCGAGGAGGCGAGGGGGGGCGCCGGGATGGAGGAGGAGGGAGAGGAGGGAGACTGGGAGGGGGAGGTGGGGGGGGAGGGACATGGAGAAGGGATAGGGACAGGAGCACGGAGGATGAGGTGGGATAAGGATAGGTTACGGAACAACTGCAACATCGCGAAAGAACACGACCAAGAACCTGGACCAAATCGTTCTGATTCATTGTCCGAACCTGATCGAGCTGCGATGGTCCCGGGGCCTGAGACCAGGCAACATCGCTCGGTATGAAAAATGCAACGCCGAAGTAGATGCCAAGGTGGATTCTATCTGGCCTGACCTAGCTTATTACGTGGCTTGCAACTTCCCTAAGTGGCTTACGGGGGGCAGATACCTGGACCGAGAGGACGGAACCCACTTAGCAGAGTTACCCGCGCACTTAGGGCATGTGTGACCCATTTACGGGCTGGGCTAGGCCACATCGAAGCCACGTAAACACCACGTATAACCCCCCCTGACCCCCCCCCCTCGCAACCTCAGCGGTGAACCAAGAAGAACCCCAGCCCCAGCGGCGCAGAGGGCCCGCCCGCCGCTCCCGGAGCAGCGCCTACGCCGCTGGGCGCCCTGGGCGGCTCGACCCACTCCACCAGCGCGGCCACGGACGCCAGGTGGCGGAGCAGGCCCACCACCTAGCTGGCAGGTCGCCGCGGTGGTGGGGGACAAAGAGGCACCGACAGCCCGCTGCTTCAAGGACCTCTCCTCAATAAAAGGCGTCGGGTTGCGCACAGACCGCACCCCAGATAGTCCACCCTGGCCTCACCAGGCCCCTCGGGTAACCCCAGCCGGCCTCAATAGGCCTCCCGAGTAGTAGTCCGGGGCGGTCGCATCACCTTGGTGCCGCATCCCCCGGCGCCCCTGGGACACGTCGCCCCCCAGGGTTGAGGTGTGGAGCCCGCCCCTGACCACTCGGGGGGCTGTCTGTGCGCAATCTGAAGCCTTACCATCCCCAGATCTTCGGCGTCTTTCCTCGATCTCAGCCCTCGGGAGCTGGTTACAGGCCCCTGGGGCCACCACACGAGGATCCTTGGCAAAAGACCACCCCTGGGTGGGGAAGCGGTCGGGACCTCTGAGGCCGCTGCTCCAAGGGATTTCTCCTTGGGCGCGTCCTGCCTAGCGAACTCCGGGAGAGCCTGGCCGTGGCGAGGCCCCGTCGACTCCAGGACGAGCAGCAGCATCGATATACCTCTCCCTCCTCTGGGCCGTCGCCGTCGCGACGGGGCCTCATCGCGCGCCCGGCCTAAAAAGAGAGAAGAGAACGCCGCCGGCGCCGTCGCCGCCCTCGCTCGTTCCGGGCTTAACGGCCTCTGCTGTCCCTCGACTCGCGCTGGAGTGTCCACGATTTGCTGCAGATTTCCCTGGAGAGAGTTGACTTTGCTCAGTTTTTCCGGAGTTGCGAGATTTTGCAAGCGATTCCCCAAACAATGCTTGCATCTAAGGGGCTCTTACTTGTGTTATACCAAAAACTGAACGAATCCGCCGAGGTTTCGCCCCGTCGCCGCCTCGTTGCCGCCCACGCTGGGGGCCGCCGAGGTTTCGCCTCGTGGCCGCCCGTTGCCGCCTCGTTGCCGCCCGTCGTCGAGATTGCACCACATAGCTTGCACCACATAGCTTGGATCCCATAGCTTGCATTACAAGACTTGCATCGCGTAGATTGGAGCATGCAGTACACATCCATAGCGCCATCACTTACTGTCTGGGGTCCTCGCTGGCTAACATTATGTATCGACTTGTCTCAATATGCCCGCCCTGATTCCCGCAAGACGATTGCCAGAAAGCCGTCAAACCCTCAGGAAATCGTCATTCTCTCTTCGCCCTCGCGGCGCCCGCCTCGCGCAGCGACCGGAGGCCCAGGCAGCCGAGGGCGCGAGGCAAGGTGCTGCCTGGGGGGAGGGGGGGGGCCGGGACGCGTGCGGGGACGCGTGCGGGGCGAGGAAGCGAAGCGAATCGACCGCTGGAGTCGTGCGCGCTCCGCTAGTGAGCCCGCCCGTGCCCAGTAGGGCATGGCGTGGAGGCGTGGCCTCAAAAATCTGGTGCATGCGCGGACTCACGGGGTAACCGCTATTCGCAAAGCCGTTAGTCGCCCCCCTCGCGCGCGGGGGCGAGCGAAGCGAAGCGAAGCGAAGCGAAGCGCGCAGATCCGCGGGAGCGGGACCCTTGAGGGGTAGCGGGGAGCGAGGGGGGCGATCAAGTATCCCAGGTCACCTGACTCCGCGCATCGCGCGGTTGTCCTCGCGCCCTCGCGCCGCCCCCCGTGGATAAGGGCAGCCATCCAGCCCAGGAGGCCGCGACGCGCAAAGGATCAATGGCATCTATGCACGGGAAATCTTGCCTGGCCTGGGGCCCAAGATGGCGCGCGCGCAAGAAACGCACCGCTGTACATCCGCGTTTGTTGCGGCCTGCGGAATCTCCGGGGACCCGAGGAGGCCGGATGGTAGAGGGAGAGAGGGGCAGGGAACATGGGCAACGAGGGAAAGGAAGGCGAGGGTCGAGACAAGATGACCGCCGGAGTTGCGCACGCCCCGCTAGAAGCCAGCTTGCGCCCATGACGGCATGGCACGGGGAGGCGATGAGATCAGAGGCGAGACTAAGGGAGGGGAGGGGAACGAAGGGGAGGGGAGGGGAGGGTGAGCAGGAAGGCAGGGGGAAGGGCCAACTGACTGCCGAGATGCTGCACCAAGACCGCCCATCCGTGGCGTCTCGTGACACGAGGCTCCTCCTTCATACCCGGGGCCGTGACTGAAGGGAGCGATGGGAACTTGATTGCAAATGTGAGCGTGCACACTGGCGCGTGGAACCCTCGGGCGTGGGGCCATCACTTTAACGGTTGGTTTGAATCGGGCGGGCGAACCCTAACGGGCGGGTCAGGCGGGCGGACCCTTGCGGGCGGGTCGGGCGGACCCGGACGGGCGGGACGGGCCGGCGGGCCAGACACGGCGGGGCATTAATTCGCGGGGCACGTCGCGAAGGACATCCACGCGTGAGGCCGACCTCATGTAAGGGCCGCCTCCACTTTGCATGGCGAAAAAGTCAGCAGCTGGCATGGCGACATGTGAAATCATGCAATGCGCGCTGCCTTTTAGTGTGCAAGAGGTTCGTTAGTGCACCCGCGCAAAACAACTTCATCACGATGACGAAGGCACCGAGACTTTTGGAAAGCTGGTCATTACAAATCATGTGTTGATATGTTGGATGCCATTGTCGACATCATGTTGTTATCTTGTGGCAGGATGAATATATATATATATATATATATAGAGATGTTCCTCTTCATGTATTTTTGCAAACCGGGGGGGGGGGGGGGAAACCGTCTCCCCCCCCCAAACCTGGATCCCCGGGATCTGGGGTTCTCGGGCTCCCTTGGACGTCCTCGGAAAAGGTCACCTGGCATTCCGGGTCTCCACATACGCCTTGCCAGCAGACCCAGAGCGATCAGAGGGGTCATCAGAAAGGCTCAAGGGAGGCCCCAGACAGCACAAGAGCGCTCCAAGAGGGACTCCAATTGCTTCAGGACGGCCCAAAAGACCTCCAAGGCACCCCAAAAAGCTGTCCAAGGGGCCTTCAAAACACAAAAATCGTCCCATTCCCTTTGTAAAACTTACAAGTTTAGCATATTCGCCTTTCGGATTTCATCAGCTTTCAAGACGGCTTCAAAGCCCCCGGGATCGCCTCAAGACGCCCCAAAAGGCCCCCAAGAAAGCTTCAAGACGGCCGAGGCGGGCCATGGGAGGTCCCCGGAAGTGCCCAAGATGGGTCCAAAGGGGGCTCCAGCGGGCCCAAGCTCCCCAAGACGGCCCAAGAAGGCCCCAGGACGGCCCATGAAGGCGCCAAAACGGCCCACGAGGGCCCCGAAAACACCCCCACGACGTTTCCGAATGCCAACATTCATTGATTTTGCTCCCATGACATTCCACATTGTGACCCAGTCATTGCTCCGGAGTGCACCGACAAAGCACGTACGAGTTGCATATGCATTCTCATACCCTGACACACATAGATTTATATGTACCTATGTACGCTGTATGCACACATACAACAATCTAAGTATGTTGTATACACCTAGACATATATACGGAACGTGCATGCGCGTGCGCGTGTATACATGCATGCGCGCATGTACGCACGCACGCATTCCGCTTGCGTGCGGAAGTCAAAAGGACCAAGGTGCATGGCGCGCAGCGCCAATGCAGTCTTGTATATGTGTGTATATATACAAATACTATAACCATCGCGCGCGCTTCGCGCGCGCTCAGGTTCTAGCCCAGGGTGGGGGCGCGCTAAAAGATCTTGGACAGCGCTATCAAGCACAGGCGCGTGACATAGTCGTGCCTCCTGAGGGCCTCTTGGGAACCTCTTGGGTCTTCGTGGGGGCATCTGAAAGGCTTCTGGGAGGTTCTCCGTGCTTCTTCAATTGGCTGTTGGAGGCACTTCTTGGGTGCTTCTCGGGGGGGCATCTTGGGGCTTCTTGGGGTCCCTTGGGGGCATCGTCAGGGTTCTCCGGGCAGTCGGAAAGTGATGTTCTGAATTCTGAAACAATCAATTGGCTGTCTTGGCTGCGTGGAGTCCCGGCTTGAGGCCACATTTGGGCAATCAGGAAGCCTCCTGGGGCCTCCTTGAAGCAATTTTGATGCATCGAGAGCACTGTTCGGCCATCTTGGGGCCCCGTGTACGTCTCCTGTGAGCCTTTTGGTGCCTGGTGGGGGGCATTGGGGGGCCTCGTCGGACCAGTTGGGGACTCTTGGGGCCTCCTGTGGGCCTCTTAGGGCGGAAAACTCTGCTGTTGGGTTTGGGTTCCCCTTCTTGGGGCTCTCTTGGGGCCCTCATGGTGTCCCCGAAAGTCTCCGTGGACCCGGACCCGGGGGCCACAGGGTCCTGGTGGACCCTTCCTCTTCTCTCTCGACTTTCCCCCCTCCGTGTTGCTCCGGGTTTAGCCTAGGGATAGGGCTCGGCGTGCCTTTCCGTAGCCCTTTGGGCTTAGCGACCCCGTTCCCATGTGCTGTGTATAAAGGCTCCCCCTCGCCCTTTCGATCCTTCCTCCCACCGTGTGCCACACAGTGTCGCACAATGGTAAGCGGAGCAGATGGTGAGGGGCAGCAGGGGAGCCCGACGACCAGCACGGCCAGAACGGAGGGAGCTCATGCCGGACAAACTGCCAGCACCCAGACCGACAGTGCGGGCCAGGACCCGTGGACGGCTAGTGCTCAGTGGTGGTCTGGATGGACGCCAGACGGCTGGCGCGCGGCAGGCTCATGGCAGTGGGTTCCCACTGCGGGGGCGAGCCCAGCCGCAGACCCAGCCGCGACGGCTGGCGCGGGGGCGCCGGCGACTGGCGAGACCGACGGGACGGACGCATGGCAGGGGTGGAGCGATCGAGGTGACCGTGATTGGAGCTCAGGGACATGGACGACTCCGAATCGTGATTTCGGCGCGCCCCCCGTTTGGCTAGGATATGAGCACCTCGATGTTTACAAGAGCAACATCCGTGCGTGGTCGAATCGTACGGGATACGCAAAGGAGGTGCAAGCAGGGAAGATACTTGAGACGCTCCCCGTAGACATTCAGCTGAAATTCAAGTTGATTCGCACGACTCTCGATGTCAGAGCAGGTGCCGAGCTTCTTTTAGACCATCTGGCGGTGCTGAACGGAGAACGGCCAGGAGACAAAGAACGCGAGGCTCACAACTTGGCGCTGTTCGACTATGGCATCCGCCGAGACGAGAGCATCACTGACTACGTCTTGAGGCGCGACCCCCAGCTAGCACAGGCTGAATCGGTCGGGCTGTCTCTGCCGGACAATGTGAAAGCTAGGTTCCTGGAGGAAGGAGCTAACCTGAGTCCGCAGAATCTCATCAACCTTCGAACTCTTGCGGCGGGAGATCGGAGTGCGACAGCAGTTAGACAGGCCTTGCTCAAGCTTGACGTGCGAGAGCGAGGGGTACTACCAGGTGCTCAGGTGACGGGCGGCAAGACCTACATAGAGCAGGAAACTGTCGAGGAGGTGCAGCCGCCGCCCTCGCCGTGGGTCTCGGACCTTGACGTGTCGACGTACTTTGAGGACGTGGACGACAGTTTCGCGCTGCTCGAGGACGACGCGAAGGTGTTCTTAGAGGCGCTCGACGACCAGGATCTAGATGAGTCCGACCTCATCCCCGTGCTGGCGGCCATTATCGAAGAGAAGATCGGCAAAGAAAAACGTCGTACGTGGACTGAAGCACGCAAGATGAAAGCTACCCGTCGAGTGGATCGTGAGTTCTTCGATCGTCGCCGCGCCGCCCGCCCAGGATACAAGTGCATCACCTCCGTTGACCTGAAGAAGACTCGGTGCGCCAACTGTGGCGAGCGTGGTCACTGGGCCGAGGATTGCCGGAAACCCTACAGGTCCAAGTCTGATCGGCTCGCGGGAGAGAAGAAGGAATCGGTGGCTGCTGCGACGAAAGGTTCTTCGAGCTGGTCGGGCTATGCCTTCATGAGCGCGGAAGACGACCCTACATTCCTGGAAAACGTGCAGTTGACGAAGCTCGAGATGGCGGCCGACTGCGTCGAGAGTGTGACGGCTGATCTTGGTACCGCTGGTTTCGCCTCGGATCCGGTCGACTGGCGCTCGACGGGCACGTGGGCGACCTTCTCTGTCGAGGAGTGGGTTGGTCTGGTCAGTGGGAAGACGGTGCCCGAGCTGAATTTAAGGAACATGAGGGATCACGGACTCGTCGACACCGCTGCTGGGCAGGCACTCGTCGGGACGCCGGACATCGAGAACCTGCGGGAGGCCTTCAAGCAGAGAGGCTACCACGTGCACATCGACTGGACGCCCGTGCAGGGCAGGAGGGCCTCGGGTATAGGCGGTTCTGCCGAGCCCGTTGGCCGCGCCTGGGTCCCGTGCTCTC